CAGGGAACGTCAGAGTTTTTAAATACTGGAATACGTTTGGGGCATATTTTAAAGGTTCAGTACTTGCAACCCAGCATCCAGTGGGGTTCCACAAGATACCAGAAAGTTCTCCTAAGAGGTAGGCGACATAACCAAATTAGAGTTAACAGACACGGACAAGGATATGCGTGGGCTTATTAAATCACCAGAAAGTACCATCATCATTTCCAGGAGAGAGATATTCAGAATTCAGTTCCTCCAATTCAGGGCATAGCGGAGCCTCGGGGCCTCTAAGTGAAGAAAAATCCCTCCTGTGTCTGGCATCTGAGTGACTCACCCAGAAAACCATCCAGTGCGTGCAGCAAAGAGGAAATGAATCATGGAAGCTCTGACCTCTAGCCTTGTCACCCTACACAGGGAAACCACCCACAGACAGTCTCAACAGAGCTGGAGACAGGGCACACACAAAAATGATGCAAGTCATCAACCGAGGAGAATCCAGTCAGGAGCAGGCTGCTCGGAGCTTAAGAATACAGGATAAACACAGGATTTTATGGTACAGAGATTTAGCAGTTGAACTGGCATCAGGGACAATTTGGCAGTGCCCACCTGCCCATTGTGTTAAGCAGTAATCGGAAGTCCTCACGCCATTCAAGGGTCATGAAGGGAACAATGACCCTTGGAATCTTCATCAACTTGTTTGGTATTTGAGGAATTTGCTCCGCTTGCACGGAGGAAGTAACCCAAGTGGATGCTTGTACGAAAGTAAGAATGAAATTGATAGAATGATTTACACTCAAGACTATGACGAGGCCATGCCTGCCTCTAAAGTGAGTTTTCCGTGGCAAATGGGAAAAGACCCCACAGGCAACCTCACGGAGTATGGACAACCACAGTCCCATACTGTGAGTTATGACTTCAGTTTTAAACAAAGCCAGAATGGCTTCAGAATGTGAATCTGAAAGTTAAGTACAGTTCATCAAAAAACATGTCCATTTGAAAAAGCAAACACCTCCCAATAATGAGAAAGAAAATCTCGAATTGGCTTCGTTACTGTGCACAGTGTATTGGGGGCCTACACTGTGAAGGGGAGCACCTTTCCCACCTTCTCTGCTCGGATGTCAGCAGCCCAGGAATAAGTAACTAGCGGTGGGGCTGCAACGTTCAGAGGTATTTTCATCACGCCAAGGGCATTTTTTTAATGCATGTCTCTTGCTGATGGCTCCGTCTTCAATCTCATTGTAAAATAATCTAAGGGGGGACATTCTGTCAGGTTGACTCCTGCTCATGGCCACTCTATTTTTGACAAAGTAGAAGTGTGCTTCACAGAGTGTCAACAGCTGGGCTTATTCTAATTCGAATAAAGCACTTTGATAAGGAAAACCATCCCATTTGCTTATCATTGTTTCACATAGACTTTATGCTATAGCTGGGGGTGGGGGTCAGGGTGTCCTGTTTGTTTTTAAGCAGACCCCCAGCCTCTCTTTGAAGATACCACTACGTCGATTCAACCCTCCAACCGTTGGGAGTGTAGTCAGCTGTATAAACTGCACTATCCAGGGACCCCATGCTATCCCTCAAATGATGTCACCTAGACTTTGGCCGTTGGAAGAGGTTGGCTAGGAAAACTTGATCTTGCTGGTTAGGAATAAAAGCATGTACATGACAGAATCTAATTCTGAGGCCTGCTCTCTGCTTGCTAACCAGGCTAGTAGATAATATTAGATAATATTCAGAGCCCAAAAAGGAATGTTAAGCTGACCTTGGATTCTTTCTCTCCTTTCCACCCCAACCTCTCATTCTGACCACTTTCATCTTACCGCTACTTACCCACCCCAACATTATTCTATTTTATCATTAGATAAAAGAGATTAGTCATTTTCGGGTAGGCAGGCAGGATTTATTGGCCTGCACCCTATTATTACCATCAGCATTTACTTGTGGGAATGAAAATGATTCAGTCCTCTTTCACAGCACAGAATGACAGTACAATGCTTTGCACATTAAATGATTTGCATACAATTGGTATCAGGGAATCAAGAATTATCCTATCACTCCCTATGAATTTCCATACATGTATCTACCACCGTTTTCAACGAATGAACTAGTGTCCTTTCTGCGGTAATAATGATTGTTTAAACAGCTATCTTCTATTCAACTGGAGTCCTGGTGTCACAGTGCCTTAAGCATGGACGGCCAACAGGCCACCACCATGCCAAGAGGAGGCCTTCTGCTCCCATCAAGATTGACAGCCGGAGAAACCCTCGGGAGCCAGCTGGTCTACTTAACCGGTAGGCCACGGTGAATAAGAGTCGACTTCATCGCATTCTGTTTGGGCTATCTAGTCAGTATTTATCACGTGACAGTGTTCCGTTCAGTTTTGCACAGATATCGATTCTTTTGATAGTCATTATAGTAGCCATCAAAAAACCAAGCCAGTTGTCTTTGAGTCTATCCCAACTCAAAGCAAGCCCCTGTGCATCAGCACACCCCTGCACTCTGTCAGATTTCCAATGACTATGACCCTTAAGAAGGAGGTCCCCAGACCTTTCTGCCAAGGTGCCTCTGGGTGAATCTCTAACCTTTCGGTTAATATCTAAGCTCTTAAACGTGTGTACTACTTAAGGACTTCAGTAACCACATTAGATAGGTCCTATTTCTATCTGTTTTATAAATAAGATACTATGAATTAGAAGATTTTGTACCTAACCCAAATCAAGTCAATAAATAATGGAGCCAGGATTAAGCCTAGAACTACACAACGGTGGAACCTTAGCTCTTCACCACCATGTAACGGGACGCGGGATGTGGGGGGCGAGCGAAGAAGCAACTGAATTGTATTTGTTGCTACACTGATTTGATCACCTTCTCCTTACATCCAGACAGGTAATCGTAATAAAATAAAATAATGTCTCATTTCTATTTGAATATCCCACATGTCATCTATAAATTTCCTGTATTTCTTTTTTATGTGCACGGCATGAGAAAGGAAAAAAAGATAAAAGCAGAAGTGCCAGCAGTTCCTAGCCCAATTTTCATATTCATTCATAATAGAGGATTTGACCTTTATTAAAATATGATCTTTCAAGCTTGACCACTGAAAGCCCCATCAAAAACACCTCACCAAGCACACATTGAAAGAGACCAATTGAGTTCAGCATATAATTTGGAATTCCTCTTCTGACCTTCTGCTGGGAACAATAGTAGAAAAATCACTCTCTCGTATCAGTCCTTCATTTTTTCACCTGAGCCAACCTATCAACAATGTGTCCAGCATCTGCCATCTGCATTAGTGCTATAGCCATCCTTGTGTGAAGAATTAGATAGTCTGTCTTTAAAGAGTGTGTTTCTTAAAGCATGATAAAACCAAACCCACGGCCATCGGGTTGATTTCCAGTCATCGCCACCCTACAGGATAGAGTTTCCTACATGGCAGTCTTTACAGAAGCCAAGTGCCACAGCTTTCTCCCGCAGAATGCCTCACGGGGATCAAACCACCAACCTTTCGGTTAGCAGCTGAATATATTTAACCACTACTCCAAT